TGAATACTAAGAGGTCTATTTAAAAAACTTCGACGTTGACTTATTTACTAAAAAAAACAGAAAAGAATATAAACATTAGATTAAACTAGTCGACAAAAGAATATCATTTTAATCTCACATGAGATATAAGACTATCATCATATTTGATTACATTTCTGTGGTGTTTTTTTTTTCTTTCTTTAAAAACATAACAAAAGCGAAGTATTAAATAACAATATTCTCTTGTGTTTAAATGCATATTCATTAATATTAATATTAAAAGATATAATGATGATATATTTTGAAAGAAGATAATTTTTATCATCAACTATTAATATTCTCTAATGAAAAAAAAAAAAGATTTGCTATTTAAAGACTAATGAAATTCCTTTTTATTATTAGCTATAATTTTAATGCAAAGAAAAACACCATCTGATTTTACATGTAGCTTCATAGATTAAATATTGAGAAAATGTTATTATGCTTCAAGCAATAATACTATCATTTTATCCTATTCATCGGCTATGAGTACAATATAGACTTTTCTTATTCAGGAAAACTCTCAATGTGTTAATTGATTTGTTCAATAGTAGATACAATATAGGCAATAACAAAATTATAAAAAGAAAGAAAAGAGTAATTTGTTATTGCCACTTATGAACTTTCCTTTTTTTCTTCTTATCTTCTTTTAAAATAAAGCCAATGATTTTTTCTGTTTTTGATGTTTCTCGTAGGCATTTGACCTTGTAAGGTTTTCATGATATTTTACATGTATCTGTCGATGACTTACATAAGACGGCAAATTCGGAAAACAAACAAACGAATTGCCTTGATAAACTGACTATTTTCTGCCAGCCATGAATGACATTTCATAATCGTATGTCATTTAGATCGACATATATACTAAGATACTTACTCTGGAGACAATTCTACAGAAGAGCGAAACATAAATTTTTTGTTTTAGTTGTCTATCATTTATTAGGACTTATCTTAATTTAATAAATGATTGTGATGGAAATCCATTCTGAAAGTAATCCATATCAATTAACCTATAAATATATACGATAGATAAACAATGAGAGTATATTAGTAAAAGATAAACAAACATTCATTTGAGTATTAGATTAAAGTTTTGTGTTACTGAACAAATACGACATATTAACAGGTTTGTTTTTTATTGAATCTTATAAATAGACTATTAATTAAATCTGTTGCTAATACTTAATAAGTGGTCGAATAATAAAATTGAATTAATATTAATTACATCTTTCAGTTACTGTTGAATGCTTAGTTATATTTTACAAGATATATTTTATGAATGTGAATATTATGTGTGAAACACCGAAAATCAATATCTGTTACTTATATATTTATTGTTAATATGTAAGATTACTCAACGTTTATTTATTATCATATACGATGAGTAGTGAACAAAGAAAAAATTCATTTGAGGATCAGACGAATAAATAATTCAGCCACTCATTCAATATATTTTTCTTTGTTATAAGAATGTGACTAAGAAATTTGTAGTAATCTTTGATGAATAATTTCATGTATTTCAGTAGAAACATTGGAAATAACCACAAAAGTATTTCAATCTACAACTTTTAATAATATTCATAATTGTAAGAAAGAGATAATTGAACGTCTTATACAATATTATGAAATTCATTCACAATTAGCAAATCATATTCATATCTTCAGAGATTATTAACTTGTTATTTAATGTAATCATTCAAGTTCAATAAATATACCTATTTATTAAACAACAACAACAACTCAGTGGAATAAATGACGACAAGTTGTGCACATTATAATTGATATTTATGCTGCATTTGATTCATATGGTGTTGGTTCTTTTTTTTAAATACAAATAAAGCAATTAAGAAAATAGCCCTTCTCTAAAATGCATTCTAATATTTCAGTTAACTACTAATTTTGAAAAGTACCGATATAAAGAAAAGTACATGAATTATTTAATAAAACACTTGATACTCTAATGCCAATGTACTTATTGTACGTTCAATTCTTCTGGGTAAAAAAAGTATCAATATGGCAGCCGAAGAAAGCATTCTTATTATAATTATAATAGATGAATGAGAAAGAAAATTATAGTTTTTATGTCCTCGTATTTCTTTTTTGATTTAATGTACAAACAGATTCATATGGCGAAATTAATGTACTTGAATTAGAAAAAGTAATTTGTCATGAACGAATCTTTATTACATTTCTTGCTCGTATTGATGAATCAGAAACTTTTTGATAATCTTAATAATTGAGATCATGCAATCGATCATGTTGATGTTGTCAATAATTTTCGTTCAGAAATAATTCAAGTTCCAGAAAAATAAGGAAAAAAGATTACATTTTCTTAAGAAGATTATCGTATGATAATTTTGTTTTCTAAGAATATTGTTGTGTTTATCTTAGTAACATGAACACATTGGACGAATAAACTATGACAATCAAATTAAATTGAATAGATTCATTAAAATTTCGAACAAGAAAGCAAAGTTTCGATAAAATATTGTTTTCTTATTTTGCTTATTATTTTTGTCAAGTTCGATTTATTAATTGATGTGTTTATAATGATAATGATGAACTATTATTACGATATTAATGACATATATTTCATATAGAGTTACTTTTGTTTTTCTTGAATAGAAACTATACTAAGATCTCATTAGTTAACTGTTGTTGATATCGGCAAATGATGCTAAGCATGAAACATGCAGAGATAGTGATGACATTATGTTAGTTGCCGTGATGTTAAACTAATTGTGTTGGTAAACCAGCAGGGAAGTGAGAGAAAGGCATTTCGAATAAAGAAAGAATGCAATCGACCATATATGTTGATTGAATTATGATAAATGGAGAACGCAAAAAAAAGCAATAGACGATAGTAACAAAATAACGTTCGAAATCTTTGACAATTGAATTGATATAGATCTGAATAGAATTTTCTTTCTTTCTTTTTGTTTTTTTTCTTTTCATTCATATAGAATAACTGTTAGTATTATTACAACAATTGTATAAAATTATATGTCATATTTTGTTCTCGTCTTTCTTTTATTTTGTTTTTTGAATGATTAATTGCAGCGCATAAGTATGTGTTGACATGAGAAAGTTGTTTTTTTTTTTGGATGATTAATTAAGAAAAAAATAATAAAATGATCCCTGTTCAAGTGCAAAATTTCAGGAAAACAGCTTATTAGTTATTCTATTTTTTTTTTCCTTCTTGTTTTTTTTCCTTCTGTTCTGTTTCCATTAAGTCCTTCACTAGTTCTCTATTTATAACTCGTAAGGTTTGATAAATAGAGTGGAAAAAAAGACTTAAATGAACAACAATGATATAATAAATAAAAAATGTGTCTACATGTATGAGTGCTCATTTCATGTCATAAACAGGAAAATAGATAATCAATGCTTATACCTCTAAGGCAAAAAAAGAAGAAATTAAAGTATAAGAAAATCTGGCAAGGTAAATAATAATATAGAACAGAGAAAGTCAAATTTTACTTTATAGATTTCAATTAATTATTGATAATTTGCATAAGCCTATCATGCACAGTAAGTTTTGCTGCTCGATTCCTTTTCCTTTCAATGGTTCATCATGCCTGTCATACTATATGCATGTATAGAAAGGAAGGGGCTTACAGGCAGAAAAAAGTTTTCCTCTTTTTTTTTTTTTTTTTTTTTTACTATTTTAGCATTCGCTATTTCATGACAAACATTGACATGGTCGTTGCAGCTTTGTTGTTCGAACAACGAGAAGAAGAAGAAGAAGAAGGAGAAGGCGCCGATGATGAAAGAGAGAGCGAGAAAAAGGAGGAGATGAAGAAAGGCCACCCAGCCAGCGACCTGTTCGATTATTTTGCCACTTCTTTCTCTCTCTATTGCACGGTTTCGTGGCTTAAATAAGACTAACAGTGTCCACACTAGCTCGTATTTTCTTCATAACAAAATTAGTTCATAATACTAGTACTACTGCGAGTGCACTTCCTCTTCATGCCTAATAACAATGCATACGCTCGAATTATCAACAGATATTATATCACGATATAGGCATTTGAATTTTCAACATAAACTGGTAAGAATATACATGCATTTTAATCATTAACTATTCAGTTTTAATAAATAAATATATATAATAGACGTCACATAGATGAAGAAATTTTTCTTTTTTTCTGAGTTTAAAAATTAGTTGACACATAATTTATCAATATTAAATATTGCTTTTTCTTTCTAAGTATTCTTTTCAATATTGTCGTCAAATGCATACTTCTCTTTCATCATTGAGGACCCATTACATCGTGTCTGACGACAAAACAAAACTAGTGGTAGTAGCGTCATGTGTTAGTATGGTTTACTGGGTTTAATCTAATGTGGCCAAATACGACATAAAGTTTGTAGTTCATCCTCTTCTCTTGTTCTTCAATGCCCGGTTTGTTCTTATTACAACATCCACACGCGATAAGACACTCGCTTGTGCACAACAATACGCTTATACGATTTGTTCAGGCTCGTGCGAATTAGGCATCGTTTTTTTTTTTTTTAAAGAGAAAACAATGTGAATGCGAGAGGAAAAGATAAAGACAGAATGAGGCCATATTACACATACATCTAGTTCTCTACTCATGTGACTAAAATGTGATCTACATGATGCATCGGATGTCTGTTTCATGTGCGTGTTTGTAAGCGTATTTCTCATATTTAACTCTAAATTTTTGACTTACATTTACTAGTGAGAAAATAAACGTTGTCAATGATTTTTCCAATTTTGTAACTCATAAATATTAACAATCCATATAAAGTTGATTTTTCTATGACACTTTTTATCCACGTGTCGATGCCTTGGTTATCGTTTTGTCTATTCTCTTTTTCTTGTCTTCCAGAACCAATCTTTGACATTTTTTTTTCTTTATTATTATTTCTTCTTTACTTAGTTGAGTAAAACGAGACGTTTTCCGGCTTCTCACTACCAGCCCATAGTTAATAATTCATGCTTGGTCCTCTACTACAACATAAAGTAACGATCGCGCAACAATGAACATCCGCATGGCATGCATATCATATATATATATATATATATAAATAGATATATGCATTTTTTTCTATCTATGTCGTCTAATAACATCGTGCAAGACAAAGGACAACAGAAAACGACAGAAAAGTTGCGAAAAAAAAAGAGAATAAGTCGCTCTTTTTCTTCTTTTTTCCCTTTTCCGTAAACAGTTGATCCAATCATTTAGTTCTCCATTGTAAAAATATAATATATAAACGTATATATATATATATATTTATATTGTAAAATAAAGGAAAAATTATAGGTATTAGATACAAAAAGACTTGTAATGGTATTAATCTATCGTCGTCACATAAATTGTTGAATTTCTAGGTTTATTATTATTAGTATTATTATTGTTGTTGTTGCTTTTATTAGCATTAAAGACAGCAGCATGGTGCTTAATACTGCACACATCATCTACACATGCACATACAAGACATACATATACAAATATATGTATTTATATAAGATAAACAGACAACGAAAAAAACAAGGCAAGCACAGAACAACAACGAGCATAGCAGTAAAAGTATCAAGGCTGATAATTCTAATCTGTGCACGGTATCAATGACACTTCACGCCGTCGTTTCATCGTCTCATACGATTTAGAGAAGCATTATAAGGAAACATCGGGAAAAAAAAACTATTAGAATCGGATGATCGAACGAGACAAAATTTTTTTAATCAAATTTTTGTTTTCTCTAAACAACAGACATCTGATTTTGATCTCTACTACTTGTTCTTGTCTTTCCGAATAGTTGTTACACGGCAATCGAGTGTCGAGAATCGATAGTATACGCTCAATTAGTTTTCTCTGTTCTTGGAAAAGACATGAATTTTTATATGATATTTCTTAAAATAGTTGTCATTGAATTCATAAGATAGACTTGCACATCATTAAGTAGAAATCTATTGACTAGTTCTTCGACAGACAGCTACAGTCGATCGATCATTTTACAT